AACTGTATACTACACAAGTACTAACTGTGTACTACACAAGTGCTAACTGTATACTACACAAGTACTAACTGTGTACTACACAAGTAGTAACTGTATACTACTACACAAGTACTGACTGTATACTACACAAGTATTGACTGTATACCACACAAGTACTAACTGTATACTACACAAGTACTGACTGTATACTACACAAGTACTAACTGTATACTACACAAGTACTGACTGTATACTACACAAGTACTAACTGTATACTACACAAGTACTGACTGTATACTACACAAGTACTGACTGTATACTACACAAGTACTAACTGTATACTACACAAGTACTAACTGTATACTACACAAGTACTGGCTGTATACTACACAAGTACTAACTGTATACTACACAAGTACTAACTGTATACTACCCAAGTACTAAGTAAATAGTTTAGAAGAGACCTGCTGACCCTGCAGTCCAGTGGACTTCAGTAAATCAAGTCTTGTCAGACCAGATGTTGTTTTAATGCAGTTTCATTCAGTCTGTGTGAACTGTAGATTCAGTTTCCTGTTGTCTGCTGACAGGAAGTGACACCTGGTGGGGTCTTCTGCTGTTGTAGTCCACCTGCATCCAGGTGGTCTTCTCTTTGTTGGCAGAGTTGTAAAGTAACTAAGTACAAATGCTTTGTTACTGTACTTAAGTACAGTGGGTAGCTGTACTTTGAGTAATTATTTTTCAGCCTACTTTTCACTCCTACTACTTGTTGTTTACTACTGTGAGTTGTTTTGAATTTTTATTGTGTTTTACTTTTCTTTTGAAAATATTTTGGGTATAAAAAGGGGCAGATATAAGATTTATTCTTCTTCTGCTGCCATTCATTTCATTTGATTTCATTTTGATTATATGTTTTTTTGAACTTTGTTAATTTTGTATTACAAATTAAATGAATAAATTACTACTACTACTTCTACTCCTTACATTTTAAAAAAGACAAGAAGTAGAAAGTCATTACTTTTATTTCATTTTTGTTTGTTTTTATTCAGCTTGTTATTGTAAAAAATAAAAACTATCCATATAAATTGTGCCTCTTAGATAGAGTGAATTTAACTGTGGTTGAATGAAAAGTATAAATATGTAAAATTCTGATACTGTATTAGTTTGTACACAAACAAATCATGCCACCCTCCAGCAGGACATAATCATTAAAATAAAAGTACTGTACTTAAAAAG